CGCCCGCGCTGTCTACCACCGCTGTTTCGGCGTCGCTCGCGTCATCGGCCACGATTTCCGCGACGCGACTCGGAGAAGGTGGGTGATGGGGTAGAGTCTACGTTGCGTCCTGCGGCCGCGCAAGGCAGTCCTCACGCGACGTGGCCTCGGCATGGCGGCGGCGCGGTCTTGGCAGGACCTGAGCAGCTTCGGTTCGCGTCGGAGGACAAGCTGACGCCGTGGGACCAGATGCCTGCGGACCAGCGAGGAGCAGCACTTCCGCGAGTGCCTCGCGGGTTTTTGGACGTGCGTTGCGAAGGGCTCCAGGGCGGATCGCCTGAAGACCCGGGAGCTCCTGCGCTACCAGGGAGAGTACCTGCGGCGGCGTCTACGCACGCCGCGACCGGCCTGCGCCCGGAGCCTCCGGCGTCGAGGACTACGGCACCGCCGGGCACGGCGCGCCCTGCGGCGGGGGCCGAGGCCTCGGCCCTGCCGCTTGTTGGGCGCGACGCGGCGCTCGTTGGACTCCGACAGGGAGAGGGTCTCATTCCTGGGGCTCCCGAGCTCGTCTGTAGCTTGAGCTCATGAGCTAGCCTCGTATCGTGAATTGGGCCCAGCCCGAACCGAATCTGACCCAGTTCCTGGCGGCGTTGGTGAGTGAGAAGAGGAGAAGATGAATGGGGACGTCGAGCCCTCTGTCGCTCAACCTCCTCCTGAACTGCCCGATCCACCTGGGGACCCACCTGCTTATGGGCCGCAGCGGACCCGAACCTAACATTTCTGAGGCGGCGGCCCCACGGCCGGGGGATCGCACTTTCTCGAGCTCGACACGGATGCGGTCCACCACGCCTGGATCAGTTACGCGCGGCTTACTGGTCAGTCGAGAGGTAAGGAGATCAACCTGATGGACATGGCCAAGACGGAGAGGAAGGAGTTCGACGCGAGCATGGCTAAGGAGCGCGAGAATTGGCGCAACTTCAGGGCGGCGGCCGCGGTCGCTCGGGACGACGCGAAGTAGTGGCTCACCAGATTCCGTCGAGATGGGTTCGCACCAACAAGAGCGAGTACGACCTCAAGATGCCTGTCGAGGCGAAGTCGAGGTTGGTGGCGGTCGGCTGCTACGAACCGGTGTATGTTCGGACGGGCTCGCCGACGTCCTCCCTGCTGGCGATCCGCGTGATTTGCAGCGCTGCGGCCAGGAAGCACCGACCACTATCCAAGCTCGACGCGACGAGCGCATGCTTGCAAGGAGGCGATGTTGACCGAATTCTTGTACTGAGACCACCCTCTCCACGACCTCCTGGAGTCCTACCAGGTTCGCTACTCGCGCGCCGCGGCGCAATCTACGGCACCAGGGATGCTGGACGCAAGTGGTGGAGTAAGCTACGGAGGACGCTGCGCGGCCACTAGTGGCAGGAGAGCCGCGTGGAGAGAGCTTATTTCTTATTGTTCGAGAGCGAGACCCTCGTCGGCCTTATCGGCGTGTTCGTGGACGACCCCTGTGGGACTGGAGATCCGAACAGCAAGCTCTTCGCGCCCACGGTTAAGGAGCTAAATGAAGATGATGCTTGTCTTGGCGGAGGAAGAATCCCTTCAGGTATTGCGGCAAGGAAGTGGGGTAGAAGATGGATTGTTCAATCCGTGTGTCGATGCGACACTTCGTTGAGCATATGGGGCAGTAGCCGTTGCCTCTGGCATGGGAGAAGCAGGTCAAGTCACAGGTCACGGACGACGGAAGGAGTTTCGCGGAGTCGGTGATCGGCTCCTGGGGATGGCTTCCCCGCCAGCTACGGATGGACTATTCATGTGGGTCTAGTTGGCTCGCCCAGCAGAAGAACGGCGCCACGGTGCAGGACCTCCTGGAGATCAACAAGCTGGCTCGGCGCTTCCGCGAGACGAAGGACCTGAACCTATTCTTCTGGAGCGGTTTCATTAAGACCGAGCCCGACCATCGCGGGCGCGTGTGCGCGGGCAGCAGCCTGAACAATATCGACGAGCTGACAGTGGGCTCTCTCGGCGAAATAGTGAAATCCCAGTTTAGGTTTGTGTGCTTATTGTGCGACGACGGCCTATGCAAGGATGGTGGCGGCCCAGTTCACTTCTTGATTGGGGGAGCTCGAGGTTTCGACGGGCGCTCGGAGCTTCGATGGCCACCGAGGCTCGCGGACTCACTGAAGGCGCGGGACCTTAGGAGTGGATGCGCGCGCTATACTTCGAGATGGGAAAGAGCGCGTTCTGCGGTCGCTTGGGGGGGGGGTTGGAACCGGACCCCCCCCCCTTGGATGGAGGGGGGGTTTCTAGCCCCCCCCCTTCCCCTACTTCTCCTCTCTCCCTCTCCTCGGCTGGCGGCGGCGGCGGCGGGGGCGACGATTTCATTTTCTGGGCCGGCGCCGGCAATTTTGGCGGCTGGCGTCGGCGGCGGGGAGCGTCGATGAGGACGACGGTGGCGGGCGGTGGTGGTGGTGGTGGGTTGCTGTTGTGGTGGTGGCAGTGGTGGTGGTGGCGGTGGTGGTGGTTGGTGGTGGGAGTGTGGTGGTTTGTTGCGGTGGTGGTGTGTGGTTGGTTTGTGGTGGTGGTGGTGGTGGTGGTGGTGTGGAGGTGGTGTGGTGGTGGTTTGTGGTGGTGGTGGTGTGTGGTGGTGGTGGTGGTTTGGTGGTGGTATGGTGGTGGTCTGTGGTGGTGTGTGTGTGGTGGGGGGGCGGTGGTTTGTGGAGGTGATGGTGGTGGTGTTGTGGTGGTTTGTGGTGTGTGGTGGTGTGGTGGTGGTGTGGTGGGTTGTGCTGCTGGTAGTGGTGGTGGGTGGTGGCGGGTGGGGTGGCGTGGTAGATTGTGGTGGTGGTGGTGGTGGTGGTTGTGTGGTGGGTTTGTTTTTGTGGTGGTGGTGGTGGTGGTGATGGTGAGTTGTGGTGGTGGTGGTTGTGGTTGTGGTTGCTATGGTGGTGGTGGTGGTGGTGGTTGTGTGGTGGGTTTTTGTGGTGGTTGTGGTGGTTATGGTGGGTTGAGGCGGTGGTGGTGGTGGTAGTGCTGGTGGTGGTCGTAGTGGCGGTTATCGCCGCTGCGTCCCCGCCGTCGCTGGTGCCGGCGCTGCTGGCCGCCGCCAGCGCCGGCGCTGGCGCCGAGGGGGGAAGGTTGAACCCCCCCTCGGCACCAGGGGACGGGGGGGGGTTTGAACCCCCCCCGTCTGCCCCCCTGGGCTGCCTCTGGTCATCGTCGCTGCGTCCCCGCCGTCGGCGCTGCTGGCGGCCGCCGGCGCCGCCGGCGAGAGGGGGGGGGGGTCAAATCACCCCCCCCTCCTTGGGATGGGGCGTTCGGCAAAATGGGGGGTTTTGGGGTCAGGGGCGTCCCCTTGGTATTGATCGACGGCGCCGAATGTTGTGAACCTGGGCCCACCCCCCGGTTCGAAACGCGCCGCCGAATGTTCCCGAGGCAGGCGCCCGTGAAACGCGTTCCTCCGAGATGGAGAAGCCGAGCCAGCCGATCATGGAGCTGGTTCACGACGCGGCCAAGCTGATCCGGGTGAAGTGGTTCGACGACGCCAACAGTTTGGTCAGCCACCTCTTTGCGGACGTTTGGCAGGTCGCCGATTGTCGGGTTCGTGTCGTCATAGTTGCGCTACGAGAATTACTTAGTCAATGCGGAGTCGACCTGGGGTGGTGCGACACGAGTGTGCAGCTGGCCGACGCGCAGACCAAACTCGAGGCCGAGAGGAGCTACCTCACGGATACGATGAACATCGGTTTCGTGACGTTGAAGGTTTCCGACGAGGCGGCCGCGTCCAAGGTTGCCATGCGTTCCGCGCGGCGCCGCGGCGCAGATGAGCATAGGAGTCAGGCCAGTGCCCGGGCATATGATTAGCAGTTTCCGTATTCAGCCTTGTTCGAGCCATTCTCCGCTAAATGACGGCTTGCTTGTTACCGCAATTCGGTGACAGCGAGGACGGGTGTTGAAATCCCAACAAATAGGCGACAATGCCACTGCGTTTCGTTACAACTGCTGCCGTCATCTGTCTCGCCGCTGACGTTTCGACTCGAACAGCTCTCGAGCATACGGGCAAAAGACTTTCATACCCGAGCGGGCGGCCGCCCGCCAGTTGATTATCCTCCTCCTCCCCCTCTTCTTACATTCTTTTTCCTTGTGCATAATTCCTCCCTGTCCCACCCTGGGCCAGTCGGAAGGACGGGCCGTGCGTTTCGCCGGAGATTTCTTTACAATCTATGATCCTGAAGCGTGGGGCTTGCAATCTGCGGGCCGCTTTCAAAATGCGGCTCTCGCCTTTAGGGCCGCGCACATCCGTCTTAAGCATTTGCGCGAGTGTCACGGGTGGAAGGCGGATGGTTTTCAACATGTGGTTCTCGCCTTGGCGCCGCGCATTACATTCGTCGCAAATTTTGCAAGAACTTCATGGATGGAGGGCGGTTGCTTTTTCAACATGTGGCTTTCGCCAGTGTACAGATTTTCGAGGATTCGCATGGCTGACGCCCCCAAAATCGTGTTCTGGCACGATGTCGGACTTTCATTGCGCACGAGTTACGTTGATTCGTGGTGTTGAAGTCCCAGGAAAGGCGATCTGGCGCGATTCAGGATCCTCAAGACGCACGGATTCTAGCGGTGATTTGTGGCGTTGCCTCTTTTTTTCCACCCCCCTTTTCAGGATTTCCAAGGAAGCCCACGGGCGCACTCCCAAGCACGACTCGATTCTGGCTCCGTGCCGATGCGGGCCGATCCGACGCACGTTCCGTTTCTACTGGTTTCCCGATTGGGTGCAGAGTGCAGTCGAAACCGATGATAAGGATGGGCCACCTTCCCCAGGGTACCCTTGCATCCTTGCTTCCTCGGTCCATCTGTAAACCACTTTCGATGGCCAGCCCCGCTCGAAGACCTTCGACATGGGCGTGTAAGGGGTTTGCATCCTCACTGCGCATCCTTGCTCCCAGTTTTGACTGAGATCCTCCTTTGGGTTGGAGACGCCTTTAGCAGACCCCGACCCTTCGATCCCGACCCCTCCGGCGTTCTTCGCGGAGGAGGGGGACGTCATCAAGAAGGCGCTGCGCACGTCGGAGAGCCTCTCCATCCTCAAGTCGGCTCAGGGGGAGAAGGACAGAGCGCCGCCGCCGCCGACGGCGACGACGAAGATGCGCACGTTCCCGCGCCGACCGCGCGGTAGCGGGATCCGCGCTGCTGCTCGGCAGGGGTCGCGTGGGAGCCAGCGAGAAGGACAGGGGCGCGTGGGCTTCGCACGCCCGGACGCTGCTCAAACCCGCTTGCTTTTGCTGGTTTTCGGCCTCCAGGGGCCCTCGCTGGGCTCTGGGACTGTCCACAAACGGGTCGCTGTGAAGAGCCGGTCCCAGGAAGGGGTCCAGACCTCGTGGACAAATCACGGCGTCGGATGTCTTCAGGAGGGAAAAACACACACAGACACAATTCAACGTCGATTCCCCAAAAAATATAGGAAAATATGGGAAGTGGGGGGGAAGACAGAAGCCCAGAAAATACAGGAAAATATGGGGAATCATTTTAATTGTGTGTATTTATGTGTGTGTCCCAAGGCCCCTTCATATCTGGACCTTCCCGGAACCCTTGCCAGGTACGGTGGGTAGGTTCGTGTCGCGTCGACGCGGCGGCGACTCCAGCGCCACCGTTCAGGGTCGAACGCCGCCGGTGCCCTGGCATCGGCCACTGCCGAACCGTCTGCGCTACTGTACTGCCAGGCCAGGGTCGCTCAAGGTCGAAGATCCACGCGGCGGCAGAAACCAACGCACGTTACCAGCCTGGAACATATCCCTATCCCTATGCTGGGCATCTCCTCATCACGATGCCAATCTTAGGGATTCCTTATGTTTTGAGGGCGAATCCCTAAGATTGTCATCGCCTTTTGGCGTGTCAATCTTAGGGATAGGGATACGTTCGAGGCTGGTAAGCACAAGTCTTCACGACACGATTCTGCCGTGTATCATGGTGACTGCCATGTCCGAACAGGGTTTCGCAGTGCTGTGCTCATAGAGAGCCGAAGATTTCGCGCCAAAAAGATCTTCTACGGGTCGCTGCTCCAGCTCCCGCCTCACGATCTGTCGCGTACCCGTTTGGAATAACCGCTTGGCATTTTCTCATCATCCAAAAGTGTGGGTCTCGCCCCTGCGCGAGCAATGTTCTGTCTGCTCGAGATGGATTTCTTGAGGTCCATGATCCATGATTATCTAATTCTGGCGGCGAGCGAGGGGGGGACGTGAGCAAGACGAGGCCTTCTCAGAAGACGGCGGGGCTCCTCAGAAGCCCTCCAGCCTGTGAGAAGTCTCCCGTGCCTTCGGGGACCGTCTGTCTGCCTGCAGCCCTGCATCCCTGGCGGACGCGTAGGGTACATGACAAAGTTCGGCTTGGATGTGTCTTCGGGGAAGGCGTAGCTCAGAATCGAAAAAGAACAGACACACACACATAGACATATATAGACATACGGTTGGCGCTCCGCGCGGACTTCTGAGATCCGCTCCTGGGCCCCCTGGCGGCGCCTCCGGCGCCGCCCCTGGCGCGCTCCGCGCGCCAGGGAGGGGGTCCAGCGCGAATCCAAGAGATCCGCGCGGAGCGCCAAACGTTTATGTTTGTTTGTTTTTTCTTCTACCGAAGGCCGGAGGGCTTCCGAGCCTTTGGAAGTGGCCCGCCCCCTCCTCGCTTCCTCCCTGGGCTGACCGCCGACCGCATGGTGGTGTCACCTCAGCGCTGGCCAGGCTCCCACCTCGGACCCCTGACAGGCCGCCCCCCAGGACCCTGCAGGGTCTCCCTTCTTTCGGCCGGCCCGATCCTCTCCTCCCCCTCCCCTTCGCCCACGCCCCTCTCTTGGCCGCGCGCCGAGGGGGGGAAGCGAGCAGGGATGGCAGGGATCACCGCAATCGCAAGGGTGGCGCAACGGGTGGGGGGGGGGGGAAGTGAGAAGGGGCAGGCCTCCTCACGAGGCCGCGGGGCTTCTCAGAAGCTCTGCTGCCTCCCGGGGGACCGTCTGCGGCTTCGGAGGCGGCTCGGACCCGCCCGCCCCCTCTGCCTTCCCCGCTTTGGGCGCGCCGCCAGCTGCGCCCGCGTCCTCCCCCGCCCCCGCGCCGCCCCTCGCACCTCCGCCCGCCCGCCCCGGCTTCGCCCCCCCTCGGCCCCCTCGGCCCCCTCCCCCCCCCCCCCCGCTTTCCCGCGCCTCCGTGCCCCCCTCCCCCCCTGGCGCCTCCCTGCCCTTCCCTGCCCCCTCCGCCCCGCCCCGCCCTCCCACCCCGCTGCCCCCCCCCCCCCCTTCGGCTCCTCCCTGCCCCCCCCCCCCCCTGGCTCCACAGTTAGACCATATGAACACTGCTCTCCTCTCTCCCCTGGTGGGCGTCCCGGGATTGTTCGGCCCCCCTCTGCGTAGTGTTTTTTCACACCAGACTCCCACGAGTTGGGTTTTCGTTTTTTTTGTTTTTGTTTGTTAAAGCATGGTTTTTCAAAATGTTGCTCTCGCTAAAGCGCTGGCCTCATTTTCGGGCTACCGCTCGTTCCGAATCGTGCTCCCGCTGCAGCGCTGGCCTCATTTAAAGGCTTCCGCTTGTTCCGAATCATGTTCCCGCTGCAGCGGTGGCGTCATTATTTCCAGCGCCATGCCACGGCATGGTTTTCGGTCCTTCCAGATAGGCCCCAAAATCAACAAAAAGCCTTCCGAAGAAGCCGTCGGAAGTGATTCCACATTCGGTGTCGAATCGTTTTTGCTATGGGCCGCACACGCACGCACGCACGCACGCACGCACGCACGCACGCACGCACGCACGCACGCACGCACGCACGCACGCACGCACGCACGCACGCACGCACGCACGCACGCACGCACGCACGCACGCACGCACGCACGCACGCACGCACGCACGCACGCACGCACGCTCGCACGCACGCACGCACGCACGCACGCACGCACGCACGCACGCACGCACGCACGCACGCACCACGCACGCACGCACGCACGCACGCACGCTCG